TCTAATATTTCTGTGAAATGTTCACTGCATTAATAAATAACCTACAACACGCTAGATTTTAAAGCATAATATTCCCAGGAAATTGTTATTTCGCCCCAGTAGGATGTCTAGGTGAGCATTTAATTACAAAATGTAACCCTGCACTCACAACTTCTGTCAACAATCTCAAATTAACAACGCCATCTATATATGACATAATGTGAATGATCTGTAATTATGTTGGCATCAAAATAGGTAAAGTTCTTAAAGAGTGTCATAGAGTTCAATGGGAGACTGCAGATATCTGGTATGTAATATCTCATATGTTCAGGCCCCAGGTTCATGAAACAGTCTTAGAATTATGTTTTTGCTTAGCCTATATATCATATATATATATATATATATGGAAATGCCAGATTTCCACATGCACATGTTCCACGTTTTTGATATCTCTCGACTCACTTTATGTGATAGTGCATCTTGCACAAGAATAGGTCCTCTACATCAGCGTTCCTTGTCCACGATGCTCTCAGCTTAATTGCTGCCTTCGGCTGTCTTTAGCCGAGGGGACTATTGGTTTTATATAATAGCTATATTTTCAATTATAGTATATCAGTTTTATCTTCTTGTAATATGATGTATATGTACATGTAACTGTTCTGTTTCACTGTGTCTTGAAAAAGGAGCAGATCGCTCCGAAAATTTGACAACCTAAACTTGTCCACACTGTTGGAATTACTTCTTTGCCCCATATATATTATAAATCAGAAAAATTATCCATACGGACGAAGAATAATTATAAAAAGAAAAATTCTCAACAACGAGTCTTAAGTACTTTCATCTCTTCTAGGAGATTCTTCAGACTATGAAATATATACCTACACCTAGGATACTATCGTTGACCTCCCATTGGTGTCCACTGATAAGGAAATGGAATTATATATCAGACTAATACCTCATCCATAATATAGGCCTACTAGGAACAGCTGCAAGGTGTGAAAATTACAGCATAAATATTTTATTCAGCTAAACCAGTACAGCTAGGGTAGATGGCATCTCAACCTATTAATCTTATTGAGGATATACAAGTATGCTATCCACTGCGCCACCCGACCATCCTAATATTTGCTGGTGTAGTCAATGATATATACATTAACTAGCCAACATACAAGAAGGAAAATTTGTTTTCTGAACAGCTTACGATACAAAAATAAATGATGTCATCAGAGACTGCAATAACACACCTTATAATTTTCTTAACAAATAATTGCGTAAAATTCGTCTTTATTTTAGCCATAAGCCATTTTCATGATAAACATAATTTGTTTACCCTTTTTTCACAACACAGTATGCAAGCACACTTTGAACCACACAATATTAACTTGTAATTTGCAAATCACAGCGACAATAACACTTTCACCACTGTAGACCACAATGGACTCATCCAGATCAATGCATAATAAAGTTTACGAAAGTTACACAGGGGTGAAAGGTTAATGCATTTGACAGATGTTGAACAGAATGCTATGTTTGACAAAAGCTCCACTCCAAACGGAAAATGCGCAATAAGCATTTTTAATATGTGATGTACATATATATGATTATCTGTAATTTGATATCACAAGGGGACATTACACAAAGCTAATTAATAACTCACTGCAATCATGTTGTATTAATAACTCATTGCAATCATGTTGTATTATAAACTCATTGCAATCATGTTGTATTATTAACTCATTGCAATCATGTTGTTTTATTAACTCATTGTAGTCATGTTGTATCATCAATCCATTGCAATCATGTTATTTTATTAACTCATTGCAGTCATGTTGTATTATTTACTCATTGCAATCATGTTGTATTATTAACTCACTGCAATCATGTTGCTTTATTAACTCATTGCAATCATGTTGTTTTATTAACTCATTGCAGTCATGTTGTATTATTTGCTCATTGCAATCATGTTGTATTATTAAGTCATTGCAATCATGTTGTATTATTAACTCACTGCAATCATGTTGTTTTATTAACTCATTGCAATCATGTTGTTTTATTAACTCATTGTAGTCATGTTGTATTATCAATTCATTGCAATCATGTTGTTTTATTAACTCATTGCAGTCATGTTGTATTATTTACTCATTGCAATCATGTTGTTTTATTAACTCATTGCAACCATGTTGTATTATGAACTCATTGCAATCATGCTGTATTATTAACTCATTGCAATCATGTTGTATTTTTAACTCACTGCAATCATGTTGTATTATTAACTCATTGCAATCATGTTGTTTTATTAACTTATTGCAATCATGTTGTATTATTTACTCATTGCAATCATGTTGTATTATGAACACATTGCAATCATGTTGTATTATTAACTCATTGCATTCATGTTGTATTATTAACTCATTGCAATCATGTTGTATAATTAACTCATTGCAACCATGTTGTCTTATGAACACATTGCAATCATGTTGTTTTATTAACTCATTGCAACCATGTTGTATTATGAACACATTGCAATCATGTTGTTTTATTAACTCATTGCAGTCATGTTGTATTATTTACTCCTTGCAATCATGTTGTATTATTAACTCATTGCAATCATGTTGTATTTTTAACTCACTGCAATCATGTTGTATTATGAACACATTGCAATCATGTTGTTTTATTAACTCATTGCCCCCCTGTTGTATTATTAACTCATTGCAATCATGTTGTATAATTAACTCATTGCAACCATGTTGTCTTATGAACACATTGCAATCATGTTGTTTTATTAACTCATTGCAACCATGTTGTATTATGAACACATTGCAATCATGTTGTATAATTAACTCATTGCAACCATGTTGTATTATGAACACATTGCAATCATGTTGTATAATTAACTCATTGCAACCATGTTGTCTTATGAACACATTGCAATCATGTTGTTTTATTAACTCATTGCAACCATGTTGTATTATGAACACATTGCAATCATGTTGTATAATTAACTCATTGCAACCATGTTGTATTATGAACTCATTGCAATCATGCTGTATTATTAACTCATTGCAATCATGTTGTATTTTTAACTCACTGCAATCATGTTGTATTATGAACACATTGCAATCATGTTGTATAATTAACTCATTGCAACCATGTTGTATTATGAACACATTGCAATCATGTTGTATAATTAACTCATTGCAACCATGTTGTATTATGAACACATTGCAATCATGTTGTTTTATTAACTCATTGCAGTCCTGTTGTATTATTTACTCATTGCAATCATGTTGTATTATTAACTCATTGTAATCATGTTGTATTATTAACTCACTGCAATCATGTTGTATTATTAAGTCATTGCAATCATGTTGTATTATTAACCCATTGCAATAATGTTGTATTATTAAGTCATTGCAATCATGTTGTATTATTAACCCATTGCAATAATGTTGTATTATTAAGTCATTGCAATCATGTTGTTTTATTAACTCATTGCAACCATGTTGTATTATGAACACATTGCAATCATGTTGTATTATTAAGTCATTGCAATCATGTTGTATTATTAACCCATTGCAATAATGTTGTATTATTAAGTCATTGCAATCATGTTGTATTATTAACCCATTGCAATAATGTTGTATTATTAAGTCATTGCAATCATGTTGTTTTATTAACTCATTGCAGTCATGTTGTATTATTTACTCCTTGCAATCATGTTGTATTATTAACTCATTGCAATCAAGTTGTATTTTCAACTCACTGCAATATTATCAATTCATTGCAATCATGTTGTTTTATTAACTCATTGCAACCATGTTGTATTATGAACACATTGCAATCATGTTGTTTCATTAACTCATTGCAATCATGTTGTATTATTAACTCATTGCAATCAAGTTGTATTTTCAACTCACTGCAATCATGTTGTATTATGAACACATTGCAATCATGTTGTATTATTAACTCATTGCATTCATGTTGTATTATTAACTCATTGCAATCATGTTGTATTTTTAACTCACTGCAATCATGTTGTATTATTAACTCATTGCAATCATGTTGTATTATGAACACATTGCAATCATGTTGGTTTATTAACTCATTGCAATCATGTTGTATTATTAAGTCATAGCAATCATGTTGTTTTTTTAACTCATTGCAATCATGTTGTATTATTAAGTCATTGAAATCATGTTGTTTTATTAACTCATTGCAATCATGTTGTATTATTAAGTCATTGAAATCATGTTGTTTTATTAACTCATTGCAATCATGTTGTATTATTAAGTCATAGCAATCATGTTGTTTTTTTAACTCATTACAATCATGTTGTATTATCAACTCATTGCAATCATGTTGTTTTATTTACTCATTGCAATCATGTTGTATTATTAAGTCATAGAAATCATGTTGTTTTTTTAACTCATTACAATCATGTTGTATTATCAGCTCATTGCAATCATGTTGTTTTCTTAACTCATTGCAATCATGTTGTATCATTAACTAACTGCAATCATGTTGTATTATTACCTCATTGCAATCATGTTGTATTTTTAACTCACTGCATTCATGTTGTATTATCAACTCATTGCAATCATGTTGTTTTATTTACTCATTGCAATCATGCTGTATTATTAACTCATTGCAATCATGTTGTATTATTAACTCATTGCAGTCATGTTGTTTTATTAACTCATTGCAATCATGTTGTATCATTAACTCACTGCAATCATGTTGTATTATTAACTCATTGCAATCATGTTGTATCATTAACTAACTGCAATCATGTTGTATTATTAACTCACTGCAATCATGTTGTATTATTAACTCACTGCAATCATGTTGTAGTATTAACTCATTGCAATCATGTTGTATTATTTACTCATTGCAATAATGTTGTATCATTAACTCATTGCAATCATGTTGTATTATTAACTCATTGCAATCACGTTGTATCATTAACTCATTGCAATCGTGTAGTTTAATTAATGCATTGCAATCATGTTGTATCATTAACTCATTGCAATTGTGTTTGTATTTTTAGTTGATTGCAAAGATGCTGTAAAGAGATAACATCAACCTGAGCATCAACCTCTGACAATACTTCCTAACCATCGCTCATGACAATGTTAACAGTCAACTGTTGGGGCACACTTCCACAACACCTAAACATCACCCTCTGACAATACTTCCTAACCATCGCTCATGACAATGTTAACAGTCAACTGTTGGGGCACACTTCCATAACACCTAAACATCACCCTCTGACAAAATTAACCTGAACTCCTTTTAACCAAATTAATCTGAACATCACCTCGTAACCAAATTAATCTGAACAACACCTTGTAACCAAATTAATCTGAACACCACCTTGTAATCAAATTAATCTGAACACCACCTTGTAATCAAATTAATCTGAACATCACCTTGTGACAATATTTCCCTTAAAACTGTGACAAAATTACCCTAAAATTCACTCTTTGGCTATACTAAAACAAAATCTGACTTACTTGTTAGGGTCATTGCTAGACTCTACATCAGAGAGAAGCTTCAGAATGACTGCGGCAGGCTCGAAGTTCTTGGAGACTTTCTGTAGAAGGGCAGTGGTGGTGCTGTGTTTAAACAGGCCCAGAGCACGTTTCCTGAGTCCATGGAGCAAACAAGCCTCAACCGCACCTGTAGGATAATAATTCAAGGTGTCCGGTACTTCAGGATAAAATTTCCATGTTACACAATATACATTTGATCTTTCTGAGTTACCTCCCTTAAATATTTCCATACAAAATGTTCTTTCTAGCAATTACACCAGGAACTACCATTTATCAAAACACATTGTTTCATCGAGGCCCTATGGCACTGGTAACCACACCCTGGTTGCTCATGGGTGGTAACTTTAACCAGTGGGTATTATACAATTCAAATTATTGTCAATAAGAAACAAAGGCTTTCAAAGCAAAATAAATCCCCAAAACACATCAATCTGATTTGTCTCATCAGATGTTCTCCAATTTTGCTTTATTCATATTTTAATATTTTCCGTTACCAATGATATGACTCTAAACAACCTGCCAGTTTTGTTGATACCATATAAATTCAACAGTATTAGATAATCAATAAATATTTGATAAACATTATATTATCAGTTCAAAATACCTTCAGTGTAAGTCTTTATAAAAAGATGAAAGAATTTATTTTTCAAACATGTCACCGATCAATTTACAGTAACTTATAGAGGACTTACCACTCAGTATTACTTAGAGGACTTACCACTCAGTGTTACTTAGAGGACTTACCACTCAGTGCTACTTATAGAGGACTTACCACTCAGTATTACTTAGAAGACTTACCACTCAGTGTTACTTAGAGGACTTACCACTTAGTGTTACTTATAGAGGACTAACCACTCAGTGTTACTTAAAGGACTTACCACTCAGTGTTACTTATAGAGGACTTACCCCTCAGTGTTACTTAGAGGACTTACCGTTCAGTGTTACTTATAGATGACTTACCACTCAGTGTTTCTTAGAGGACTTACCCCTCAGTGTTACTTATAGAGGACTAACCACTCAGTGTTACTTAGAGGACTTATCACTCAGTGTTACTTAGAGGACTTACCCCTCAGTGTTACTTATAGAGGACTTAACACTCAGTGTTACTTATAGAGGACTTACCACTCAGTGTTACTTATAGAGGACTTACCACTCAGTGTTACTTATAGAGGACTTACCCCTCAGTGTTACTTAGAGGACTTACCACTCAGTGTTACTTATAGAGGACTTACCCCTCAGTGTTACTTAGAGGACTTACCATTCAGTGTTACTTATAGATGACTTACCACTCAGTGTTACTTAGAGGACTTACCACTCAGTGTTACTTAGATGACTTACCCCTCACTGTTACTTAGAGGACTATCCACTCAGTGTTACTTAGATGACTTACCCCTCAGTGTTACTTAGAGGACTTACCACTCAGTGTTCCTTAGAGGACTTACCACTCAGTGTTACTTATAGGGGACTTACCACTCAGTGTTACTTAGAGGACTTACAACTCAGTGTTACTTAGAGGACTTACCACTCAGTGTTATTTAGAGGACTTACCACTCAGTGTTACTTAGATGACTAACCACTCAGTGTTACTTAGAGGACTTACAACTCAGTGTTACTTAGAGGACTTACCACTCAGTGTTATTTAGAGGACTTACCACTCAGTGTTACTTAGATGACTTACCCCTCAGTGTTACTTAGAGGACTATCCACTCAGTGTTACTTAGAGGAATTACCCCTCAGTGTTACTTAGAGGACTAACCACTCAGTGTTACTTAGAGGACTTACAACTCAGTGTTACTTAGAGGACTTACCACTCAGTGTTACTTAGATGACTTACCCCTCAGTGTTACTTAGAGGACTTACCACTCAGTGGTACTTAGAGGACTAACCACTCAGTGTTACTTAGAGGACTTACAACTCAGTGTTACTTAGAGGACTTACCACTCAGTGTTCCTTAGAGGACTTACCACTCAGGGTTACTTAGAGGACTAACCACTCAGTGTTACTTAGATGACTTACTCCTCAGTGTTACTTAGAGGACTATCCACTCAGTGTTACTTAGATGACTTACCCCTCACTGTTACTTAGAGGACTATCCACTCAGTGTTACTTAGATGACTTACCCCTCAGTGTTACTTAGAGGACTATCCACTCAGTGTTACTTAGATGACTTACCCCTCACTGTTACTTAGAGGACTATCCACTCAGTGTTACTTAGAGGACTTACCCCTCAGTGTTACTTATAGAGGACTTACCCCTCAGTGTTTCTTAGAGGACTTACCATTCAGTGTTACTTATAGAGGACTTACCACTCAGTGTTACTTACAGAGGACTTACCACTCAGTGTTACTTAGAGGACTAGCCACTCAGTGTTACTTAGATGACTTACCACTCAGTGTTACTTAGAGGACTTACCCCTCAGTGTTACTTATAGAGGACTTACCACTCAGGGTGGCTTAGAGGACTTACCACTCAGGGTTACTTAGAGGACTTACCACTCAGTGTTACTTATAGGGCACTTACCACTCAGTGTTACTTAGAGGACTTACCACTCAGTGGTACTTAGAGGACTAACCACTCAGTGTTACTTAGAGGACTTACAACTCAGTGTTACTTAGAGGACTTACCACTCAGTGGTACTTAGAGGACTAGCCACTCAGTGTTACTTAGATGACTTACCACTCAGTGTTACTTAGAGGACTTATCCCTCAGTGTTACTTAGAGGACTTACCACTCAGTGTTGCTTAGAGGACTAACCACTCAGTGTTACTTAGATGACTTACCCCTCAGTGTTACTTAGAGGACTTACCACTCAGTGCTACTTAGAGGACTAACCACTCAGTGTTACTTAGAGGACTTACAACTCAGTGTTCCTTAGAGGACTTACCACTCAGTGTTACTTATAGGGGACTTACCACTCAGTGTTACTTAGAGGACTTACCACTCAGTGATGTGATACTGCTACTTTCTTCATGGACAAACTTTCTGGTCACAGCCTCTTCCATGATCTGTTTTACCTACAACATCACAAACATCAGATTGAATTAGAATACACCTGTGATAAAGAACGACACAGAATAGTATTTACCTGACACAATATAACTCAGAATATTACCTGTGATACAGGACTTTCCAGTAGGTTAACACTGATTCCTTTTGACAAAATCACGAATTTTACACGGGCATGGGTATATTTTTATTCATTCATTTCCCATTCTGTCACCATCCTTAATATGTTGTGGATTCTACAAACTCGCAGCAGGGCCATTCAGGGGCTAATGTAAGGGGCTGAAAATATCCACTGTAAAATGTTTTTGATCATTTCCCAAAAATCTCATTAAAATTTTACAATCTCAAAACAATATTTTTTTTTTGTCATTCTTAGCTTGCATTCAGATGACAATGCAACGACAACAAAAATCTTAAACAATCTTTCATAAATACATTGTAAGGATGTTTAAGTCTTTAAGATTATACTTTGAGAAGAAAGTAAGCATTCGGTATGCTTCAGAATATTCCCAATTTAGTTTCCCCCAATCTAAAGCCACTAGGCCTCGTTCCCAAATTAGTGAGAAAAAGCCCTGTGCAACATATTGAACATGTAGTTTTTAATGATTCTAGAAGATATTTCTGAAGTTGTACCCACCTAATTACATATTATCATTAAATTGTAAAAATATCAAATCATCAAAAGAAAAAGTAGAATTTTCAAAAAGTTGCCGGTCAGAGTTTAGCACGAGGTTTTATACTGTTGTAAACCTCACTTCTGTTTCAACAAATAACAAACTTTTGGTAGCCTATATGATGAGTCTGTATTATACTCTAGGGTATTGAGATTTATGTTTCCAGCAAGGTAATAAAACTATTGTGGTTTTGTTGTTGACATAACATGATACAACTTAAGTGCCATTCCTCTGTATAATGTACACCACAATCACATAGGGATATTGATTCAACACCCAATAAAAGGACTACGGTAACCTTTTTGCTCTCTATGAAATATTAAGTTATCTGAACAATCTATTTGATGAATGCTTGTTAGTCCTCGCATGTCAACAGGTTTGTAGTGTATCTGAATATAAATCAATGAAATGAAAAAAATGTTTTAACGAAATCCTCAGATGTTATAGCCTCTACATCAGGTGATTCCTACATGTATATACCCCAGCCTGTGATTATCAAACTGTTCTCAGGCACAAACTCATAAGCTACGCTCAAGCTCAATTTCTTGTTTCAGTGATAAATTAATGATAGTTCACATTTTCTAAACAATATTGGAAACATGTTGAAGAGAATTAAGCCTTTCACTGTTATTATTTTTTTCTGCTGGACTTTTATAATTTGACACAAGATTTAGAGAAATCACAATTAAAGAAAGTTTGTGTGAGCACAAAATCCATGCTTAAGCTTGAGAATGCTTTCATGAAATGGAGCAATGTTAAGTACCATGTTAAACATTAAACAGAAATGAAGCAATACAACACATGTACAATATTTCTTACTGTATTTGACTAAAGAGAGATTGAAAACTTGTATTTTCTAATATTAAATTTCAGTTCTGTATCACAAATAGGAGTTCTATACATACGTATGTAATATGTCTGTCCTAACATTTTGTTGAAACAAAATGACATATTTGATGGTAATAAGTCCTACCAAGTTTAAAGGAAAGCAAATGAAAATTGAGAGACAAGTAGTCAGGATATGATTGCAATGCCCTTAATATATGTGTAACAGGACAGGAAAAATGCACGGTCAGACCGGGGTTTGAACGGAGGACCCTCCAAACTCTATATGGGCGCTCTACCAATTGAGCTACCCGGTCGCCAACGATTGACCCAGTCAAGTTCTGCTACATTCCTCCCTCTATTTTCTAAGTATTTGCCCTCGAAAACACAGCTATTTACAACCCAGGTTTGCATTATAAATCCCCTTGCCAAGCATACACCAAATGCTTGAAACAAGGGTTGGTCACAGGCACCACTGTAACAGGAGACGGAAAATAAACAGCCAGACTGGGGTTCGAACCCGGGACCCAACTCTAGACAGACACTCTACCAATTGAGCTATTTGATCGCCACCGCTACGTATGCAAATGTCAATTATTCTGTAACTGATCCCGGGAGCGATGTAAATTAACACCATTTTGTGCATGTCGTTATAAAGAAAAGGTCTCTATAAATAAAGTCAATCTCCAATCAATCATCAAAGCATCTCCCTGAATGGACAAAAAAATCTGTATTTTCACTAGATCCTATAATACACCATCAACATAACTGATCCGCGGTGATGAAATTACACAATTTAATTGTCCTGTTGTTGCATAATTGACATGATACATATGTTGCTGTCATTTGATAAATCGGTTTTTAATGTAAAAGCAAATTGCCACGTGCACACAAAAACATTTTTGCATTTTAATACCACAGAAATGATGTGTGGTGCTGATTTCTCCAAAGATACATGAAACAGATCAATATATTGCTTACAGCATCACAGTCACAGATATACTTACTGAGGATTATATCACAGCCAGGAGACAGGTATAAATAAGTGTTTAATAGCCAACAAGTTCATATGTTTCAAAACCAAATTTTGAGGTGAGAATAGGATACATGTGATATAATGCCACCAAAGATGATATTCATATTCCATAAAACTCCAGTCTATAAAATAAGTAGGTCATGATCATCTCCAGAGACTAAGTAGGTCATCTCCAGATAATAAGCAGGTCATCTCCAGAGAGTAAGCAGGTCATCTACAGAGAATAAATAGGTCATCTCCACAGAAAAAGTAGGTTTTCTCCTGAGAATACCTAAACAAGTCATCTCTAAAGAATAAGCAGCTCTTAAAATAAACACGAGGCCCAGAGGGCCTGTATCGCTCACCTGGATATCTAAGAGCAATCATGGTAAAATATTCTCCAAATGATTTCCAAGGGAATATGCCAGACCCCAAGGCCAATCCTTGTGGCATATCTGTATTAGATTTTTCATGCCCAGCAATTTTATGTATGTTTTTTGGGTGGGGATCTCAACTGTTTCCAAGCTGTGATTCAGAAACTAGGTCCTTAGGGTTGTGGCTAGACCCCAGGACCAATTCTTATATATATCATGACTGCATTAGTCTCTTTTTGCCCAGCATTTGTATTTATAGTTTTGGGGTGGGGATCTCAACCATTTCAAAGTTATGACCCAGGGGTTAAGTCTGCAAGAGTGGGGCAGACCCTGGGTCAAATTCTAATATCATGACTGCATTCGTCTCTTTATGCCCAACAATTGTATATGTATATAGTTTTGGGTAGGGATCTTAACCATTTCGAAGTTATGAACCAGGGGTTAAGTCTCCAAGTGTGGGGCAGTCCCCAAGGAAATCCTGGAAGCATATGTGCATTCATCACTCAGCAATTGTATATATGGTTATAGGGTGGGGATCACAACTGTTTCCAAACTGTGACTAGGAAACTAGGTCCCTAGGGGTTCGGTCAGACCCCAGGGTCTATTCTAATATCATGACTGCATTCTTCTCTTTATGCCCAGCATTTGCATATATAGTTTTGGGGTGGGGATCTCAACCGTTTTAAAGTTATGGCCCAGGAAATATGTCTCCAAGGGTGGGGCTAGACCCTAGGGCCATCCTGGAAGCAAATGTGCATTCTTCTCTATATACTCAGCAGTTGTATATATGGTTATATGGTGGGGATCGTAACCAAGCAAATGACTCCTTGTTTAATTCCCACAAACATTGCTTCAAAGAGTCATATTGAAATGTTCACCAGTGAAAAAATACAACATTTGACCTTGACCTTTGACCCAGTGAACTTGACTTTAAGTCAGTTGACTCTTCGTTAAATTCCGACCAACTTTTGCTTCATGTCATGACAAAATGTTCATCAGGGAAAAGATACAAAATTTGACATTGACCTTTGACCCAGTTACCTTGACCTTTGGTCAATTGACACCTTGTTTAATTCTGACAAACATTGCTGCATAATGTCATAACAAAATGTTCATCAGGGAAAAGATACAAAATTTAACCTTCACCTTTGACCCAGTGACCATGACCTTTGGTCAATTGACTCCTTGTTTAATTCTGAGCAACATTTCTTCAAAGTGTCAAAACGAAATGTTCACCAGTGAAAAGATGCAAAAGTTAACCTTGACCTTTGACCCAATGACCTTGACCTTTAGTCAGCTGACGCCTTGTTTAATTCTGATCAACTTTGTTTCATCATGTCATAACAAAATGTTCATCAGTGAAAAGATGCAAAATTTGACCTGGACCTTTGAACCCAATGACCTTGACCTTTGACCTAGACTTTTTACCTCAATGTGTATTTTTGTGAACTAAACATCTTGACCAAGTTTCATGTACATCGGTCTAAAAATACCAAAGTTATCAGGCAGGAACAAAAATTGTGGATGGACACACAAACTGACAAACAGACGATACGGGGCCCTAATTAAAACAAAGTTTTTTATTAGACAGTTTCAATGCCAGATTTTCTGCCATGATTTTATCAGTGTTGGGAATGGCCTGTAAATTCATACTCGATCATCACTTCCAATCAAGTGACTGATGATCGAAAAATGATCGATCAAATTGAACTTAACATCAGTAATTTAAGGTTATATTCGCTTTCCGAAATCTACTTTCACTTTCGTTAACAGGGAAACCCTGACGTTAGAGAATTTTGCTAATAACACACAACATTCATATAAAAAACAATAAGTTTGTTGACAGAACCTTATAATTATTGAAAAATATGTATTTGGAAATGAAAATGATGATGTTTTGCAATGTCAATTATGCTGTGACAGCTGCATCTCGTATTCAGAAATGCCGCGATGGATTGGTATTCACCTGATGACACCCCGTCAAACTTAACATTTTATTTGTAAGATAGCCCACACTTTCAACAAAGCGTTTAATATATATCCAGCTAAGGACGAACAATACCTTCCAAACGTTTGGATCAGTATCCACCGGATGATCATAGTGTTTAATCTCCGGAATG